CTCTTTTATGTGGAGAAAATGCTTTAAATCTCCCTTTTTGCTCACTTTGTTGCTAAGGAACAAAATAAAAATACTGACTTTGTTTAGTTTTGTGCAAAATTACAATTTTACACAGGGTAATATAGACTGAACTGGACAGAAGCCCTGCATAAGCACAGTCAGAGATACTTGGGTTAAAAAGGAGATCTGCTTACAATGAACTGCTTGTTTTATCAAAGATGCAACATTTCAGTCATGCTGAATAGAGCTTTGCAGCTATATGTTGCTATTCAATCCCCATCTTACTATAACATACAATTATATTGACTTTATTTTTTTTTTCATAATTCATGAATGACATATGAATGACAAATGCAACTCAGTTCTCTATAGTATTCTCAAATCTACATTAATTGATAAATGTGTGTTTTTTTTATGGTATTTTGACACAGATCTTTCATCTTAATTATCTCCCATAGCAGGTTGTCTGAAGGTTTTCAAAAGACAAATACAGAATAAAGCTGTGTATTACTGTGCCCTTCAAGCAACAGAGTCATAATGCTTAGTATATATTAGGTGATTAATTTTATTAATTTTATTTTTAATTTCGTTCTTACCCACAAAAGCAGATGATTAAAACAAGGAGTGCTGATCTAAAGTCCATCATGGTCCAATATTCTTTTTGTTCTGTGGCAACAGAACCACCTGTCGGTGGTACATCCCATGTAGGGGTTACTCCCCACATGGTTATTCCTCCAATTCCTTCATTTCAAGCTTCCACTGTCACTGACCACTTGATCCCTTGGGACTGGATATCTCAATTTGTATGGAGACCGACACTCAAGTGGGAAACTATATGCATTTATATATGTATGTCTTTTGCCTTTAACTAGTTACCAAATAGACAGTTCTAAGTTTTCTATTCATTTTTTATTAAATAAATAGCAAAGTAGGTATATTCCAAATTTCTGACAACATTTAAAATGGTCAATAATAACATACACTGTTAGGGATCAGTTGTAATTCAAACAAGAATTTGCCAACGGCTCCCAGGTCCACACTAAATGTTTACAAAAAATGACGCTGAGAGTGTGCACATGCTACCTTGGCTGGCAGAGAGAGATTTAAAAAAGACTAGGAAACTCAAAGGCGGTGGGTTCGCAGTGCTTTTTAACAACAGATGGTGTCATCCAGGACAGGTTACTGTAAAAATCTCTCACTACAGCCCAGATATTGAACTGTGGGCAGTTGGTTTTTTTGCCATATTATTTGTCCAGATAGTTTTTCAGCTGCTGCACCAGAGAAAACAAAACTTTGGACTTGTTTTATGCAAATGTCAACGATTCCTACATATTTTAGGTAAGATCTCTTCTTGTGAAATCAGATTAGATTGAAGATCAGATATTATTTTTCTCATCTAAGAGTGTAAGACACCTTATAAGAGAAAATCTGCATAAAAAAAAGAAATTGTAATAAGATGGTCATATAAGGCAGAAGAAGCCCTGCAAGTTTGTTTTGAGGCTACAGACTGGGATGTACAGTGGTAGCCAAATGACACAAATGTGATGACTGAGTTTGTTACTGACTGCATAAACTTCTGCGTAGATAGCATCATCCCTACCAGAACAGGGAAATAAATGCTTCTCAAATAATAAAACATGGATCCCAAGTGATCTAAAGGAACTGCTCAACTAGAAAAATCAAGCTTAAGAAGGGAAATACTAAGGAGTATAGAGAAGGATATAAAGGACAAGATAAGATAAATGAAGGAGCATACAGCGAGAGGCTGGAAATACAAGCTCCAGCAGAATATATATAAGATAATAATATAAGAGATGGGCAAGATCACACTTTTCAAGCAGAAGGATGATCAGACAGATGCCTTGTTTCAGTACCAAAGAATCCTAAGAAGTCAGTCCTCAGTGACTATAGACCTGTTGCCCTGATATCCCACCTCATAAAGGTCCTACAGAGACTTCTGTTGATTTACCTCAGCAATCAAACCAGCAGCTCTCACAACCCCCTGCAGTTTGCTTATTGTCGAGGAGTTGGATTCCAAGATGCCCTCATACACCCGCTTCAACAAACAGACTATCATTTAGATAAGGGAGACAGCCCTGTGAGGATCATGGTCTTTGATTCTCCAGTACATTTAATAAAATTCAGAAGGCTCAGGTGGAGGCATCTACAATCGCCTGGATCAAAGACTATCTGACTAACAGACCACAGTTTATTTCAGGAATAAATGTAGCAAAAATCTGGTTATCTTCAATTTAGGTTTAATAATGTGAATCAGCATAACAAATGCACAGAATTGATGTAGTTAATGAAGTTATAATCATACTGTACATGAAACTTGAGTCTGAAAACAATTGAGAAGTCTGAATAAAAAGCAGGGAGGAGATACATAAACCATTAAATGATAAGCTTAACATGAATAGAATGTAGGGAAAACACCAGACAAAAACATGCTAAATATAAAATGATACTGTCCATTTACAAAACCTTAAATGTAATTTTGCTCATTTACACAAGGTAGATAGACCTTTAAGGATCATGGTCTTTGATTTCTCCAATGTATTAAATAAAATTTAGAAGGCTCAGGAGGAGGCATCTAATTAAAGAGTCAGCAGCACAGGAGAACCACAGGGGACGGTACTCTCTCCATTCCTTTTTACTCTTTTCACCTCCGACTTCCAGCACCAGACAGACTCCTGTCATCTTCAGAAATAATAGGATGAGTCTGCAGTTATTGGATGCATCAAATATGGACAAGAAGCTGAGCACAGAGAGCTAGTGAACTGCTTTGTTGCATGGAGTGGGAACAATCATCTGATCCTGAATGTCAACAAAACAAGGAAGATCATTTTAGATTTAAGAGGAAAGAGGAGCAAATTGAAAGCTATTAACATAATGGGAGAAGAAGTGGAGGTGGTTGAGGAGCATAAATACCTTGGTGTTCACCTAGACAACAAATTAGAGTGCGGATACAACTGTTAAGACGTCAATGAGAAAGGACAGTATAGACTCTACCTCCAAAGGGTGCTTAGGTCCTTCCATATTTGCAGAAAGTTGCAGCATATCTTCTAAAAGTCTGCTGTAGAGAGTGTGATCTCTTCCTCCATCATCTACTGGGTAACAGCAACAGAGGGAATGACTTACAAAAGCTCAACAAGCAAAGAGAGAAGGCTGGCTCTGTTCTTTGAACTCCTCTAGAAACTCAGGAGGTTACTTCACAAAGAAGAGTTCTTTATAAAATAAAGAACATTATGGACAACAGTGCGCATCCTTCTCAGAAGATTTTTTTTTAATCACTGTATTTTTATTGAGTTTTCCTTTTATACATACAGTTTGTAAATACAAAAAATATATTTATCCAGCAAAGATAGATATAAAATAACATACAGAAAAAAAAAATCCCTAAAAAAAAAAATCCCATTTAGCCCACTCAGGTCACTACCAAGAGGCCAACACATTACTTTCCTATCCCTGACTGAGACAGAACACATTTTATTAAATCTAATAAACCTTTTTAATCCAGAGCATTATTGTATGTTTTCGAATGAGTCAAGAAAGGGCTCCCATATTTCTTCAAATTTACCAGTTAAATGTGGAATAGAACACCTAATTTTTTCCAGTTTCAGACACGACATGAGGTCACATAAACACTGCCTTTTGAGTTGGAGGGCTCAGAAGATTTTTAAACAACAGTGTCATCAGTAAGAGGCTTCTCCAGATCCGATGCAAGACAGACCTTAGAGAATACTTGCTAAGTATAAATTGATACTTTTTTTAAAGGGTTAATTTCCCTTTGAAGCACTACTCAGTCACTCATTCTGTTGCCAGCACTGCCACCATCTGGTGGAAGAGAAAAATGTCCTTTGAAGGGTTTTGCTCAGTTTCCTCACCCCCTTAGAACTGTCTGGCGCAGTAATACACAGCAGAGTCGTCTTGCCTTAAGCTGGGCTTTCACAGATACACCAGAATATTGCTGTTAACTGTGCTGATTCCTACAAACTTTAAAAAAGCACCTAAATTATGCTTTATATTTGCATCATAATAAAAATCTTCAATCCACCCCAGTAATGTTCCCAGTAGTTATCAGTTCAAGTACAACTGGGATTTTTTTTTATCTGTTAAGGTAAGTTTTTACAAAGTTTTAATGTGTAGGACCGTGTCCATATCAGTGTTTAACCATTTTATCTCTCTCTAAAACTAGTAACTCATGATTCAAGATCAGATCATTCTGATGTACAATTGAATTCAACTAAAATTATGTTCATTTGATATCACAAAGAATATTTGTACAATTATATACTCTACAGTATATTACTATTGATGTATTAAAATGCTGTTATTTGGAAATTATGAGGATTGGTTCATCAAAATCAACATATCACACTGAGTTTCCAACCAAGTTATAATCTGAACAAAGTATGTATTTAAACAATTATAAATAAAATCAATCAATCTTCTCCCACTTATTCTTTGGGGCATTTGCTTATCTCCGGCAGTGAATGGACCAAAGGCAGGGTACAACCCAAAAAGATCAGTCTGTCACAGGGCAACACTTAGGCACAGAACCATGCACAAACACACTCACTCCTAAGGACAATTAGGAGATGCCAATTAACCTAACAGTCATGTTTTTGGACTGGGGGAGGAAGCCGGAGTACCTGGAGGGAACCCACCCATGCATGGGTAGAACACACAAACTCCATGCAGAGAGACCATGGAGCAGGGAAGGAACATAGGACCATATTGATGTAGGACTAATCAGAATTTCTTTTAAAATTTATATTAAAAAATCCAAAAACCTTAATTATTTTTCTGACACACAAGGATACATATTTATGGAGTGAGTTTTCTAAACATATTTTGCATTTTTTTTAACTGTTTTGGCAACAGTAGCATCAGTAGAGTGCTAAAAAGGAAGAAATTATGACAGTCAAAATGAAAGTTCTCCTTTGATCATTTTCAATAAAGCTGAGGTTTTTGTACAGCTGCTGAACTGACTTCAGTCACTGTGTCTCTCGAGCACAATAATAAACAGCAGAATCTTCTGTTCTCAGGCTGTTCATCTGCAGATACACCTGCTGTTTGCTGTTGTCTCTGGAGATGGTAAACCGGTCTTGGACTGACTGAGAGTGCCATGGGCTATCACCATCATCATTGATCTCAGCAAGCCATTCCAGTTCCTTCCCAGGAGCCTGTCTGATCCAGTCCATGTAGTAGTCGCTGAATGTGAATCCAGAGGCAGTACAGGTCAGTTGGTGAGACTCTCCTGGTCTTTTAACCACTGATTCAGATTCTCTCAGAGTCTGACAATAAACTTCTGTGAAGGAAACACGTCAGTAAGGATAGTTCTTGTTAGAAAACAGTTTCACAAAAAAACACTGAATTTTTGTGCTAATTTTCTCACCTGCAAAGCAAAAAATAGAAAACAGCAGTCCAGATCTGTAGTCCATATTTGCCAGAGTGATTCTTCTTCTCTGATAGCATGTCACAGACACATAAACAGAGCTAGGTCTATTTAAGCTTTGGATTGACTCCACCTTCCAGGGAGGGTGGATTAGAAAAAATCAGATATAAGGATGATTTAATATGTTTTAAAATCTTTATTTCCTTGTAGAGTTTATTTTACTTCTCTGATAAACTGAAATCAGAAAATTTTGTTTATTGTACATATCATAGTATTTTTTTTCCTATTAGGAAAATTACCAATCTAAAGAGTTTACAGCATATCACATAAATTAGAAATCAGTCAGATAGAATTACATTAATCATTTGGTGCTTTATTGAGTAAAAAATAGCAGCTTGTGTGGCACATTGAGCCATCTTTTGAATTAATTATGTCAGATTAATCAAAGGCACAGTTTGAATATCATGGGAACATACCTGTTATATATCAGTTGCCATACGCTGTGTGATTGAAATGTTATATAAGGTGTAAGACTCTACAGGCCTGTTTTCCTAACAATTTAATTTCAACAACAATGTGTAGCAAAGTTACATTGGTGTCTATAAAACAATAAACCATTTAACATATTTGAATTTAAAAACAACCTTCGAAACAAACAGAGACTGGACTCTGAGGAAGCATCATC